GTAAATGTTATTGCCTGTATACATTAAACGTTTTTAAACCACCGCTCAATTATTGCGCGTTTATATATGCACGAATAGATTACTTACAGTCTTGGTACACGATCCATGAGTCTGGTTTTGACGGATCGTAATCAGGTGTCTTAGAATTGTTGGCCTTTGCATTGTGCTTGACGGACTGCACTAGCCCACCATNGTGCTTGACGGCCTGCACTAGCCCACCACGAATGCCCTGTTCCACCATCAGTAGCATGTCGTAGTCGTTCAAGAGCTCCAGCTTCATCCTGGTGTATTTCAACATACAATCGAAGCTAAATACGGGTGCAGTGTAATAGTGCGCCGGGTCCAAATTGTATGTTGACGTACAGATGTCGCGGAAGTTCTCAAACACATCAGCCAACAACAACACGTCGATCTTAAGATATAAGCCGCTGTACTCACCGAGGGTTGTGCAGTCGAAACGGTTCCACACCTCCGTGGCATGCCTATAGTCGTCGTAAATTTTTCATATTCATACATTGACAAACAAACCATTCATATACGAATTTAAACCAATTTCAAAGAAATTCTCAATTAGTAATTCATTTATTAATTGCTATTATAAAACTTGACTATAGAATATTCAATGATACAATGCATGCAATATTTAATATATTTTTTTTAATGATCTATCTAATAAAATTAACAATAAACACTAAAGGGTTTTATCTAAAGAGCCTTATTTCTCTGTAGCTACATTCTAAATGATTGTATTTTAAGTGTATTGAAAAAATGCAAATATTTATGTATTCTATTTTTTTAATTTTTAAATGCATGTTTTTAAGATAACTCTATAAAAAATTTACATGTATATGACACTAGTCAGATAAATATTATGACCATTTCACAGGCCTATAAACTTTATCTTCCATTGGATAACTCACTAACTAATAATTCGGTTACTATTTTAGTGTGGTGAAAATAGCTACCGTATTCAAAAATATGCTATTTTTGTGATAAAATTCTTGGTTTTCTATTTTATTTTATTATAAGGGGATTACACTGATCTTCATAAATATTACATCAATCTAATTGACATAGTATAAAAAGTTAAACATATTTAAATTTTTTTTGTTCCTTTTGAAGTCGAGAAAAATAACTTTAAAATTTGAAATAACTAAATTTCCATTTTTATTAAGTGAGGGATGCGACGTATGGTTTCTGAGACGGTAACACTTGGGTCTTTCACGCCTGTGGCACTAAATTTTTTCTTAATTCTTTTTTAGTTAGAAAAAAATGTTTAACTCATTTGATTTTTATCTCCTTTAGATTCAATAACTTCAATAAATATCATGGATACCATTACTGTAGTCTCCTCTCACGAGAAGAAATTCATATTAATATTATTTTATTATGTGGTTTTTTTTTGTAGCTATGTAGCTTTTTATTTTCTCAGCTCTCATTTGACCTACTTTTTTGGCAAATTTTTTTTTTTAATTAAACATTATCTACAGATTTGCATCGAAGCGTTTTTTACGATAGTGATTTTAATCATTGTCAGATATCATCTATACTTGTCCCATCTATGCCTCGATCCCACTGTACTACTGTTTTTTTAATATTGTATATTATATAAATTTAAAATTAGGTAAATGTGTCTAAAAATATTTCGAATATTAAGAGTGATGACTATTTTCTCATATTGTGTGTTGCATTACAAATTATGTAACTAGAATAGTTGAACAAATGTGCAAAATACGTGTGTTTTCGTAAATTAATAAAAGCCGAAAATTATATTTTTAGTTAATTAGATAATTAAATATAAGTATTTATTGAAAATTGTAGAAACAATTTTAAAAATCAACTACAAAACGTCAAAGCTTATTAATTTATAGACTAAAATTTCAGTATTCAATGACAAATGAAACAAAAGAAAACCAGTTTTTTTTTTGTGTCTGTTACCACTTTTTCTCAGCTCTCACCGAACCGATTTCTTTCTATGATACGTCAAAATATCACAAATCGTAACTAGTCGAAGACATTACCCTCAAAAATTTCTCTTGTTCCCCGTAAATAGGGGAAATCTAATTTTTTATATAGATGCATGATATCATTACCTTTTATTTGGTATATTTTTTTTATAAATCTGACCCTTTACTTGCCCATAGGAGGGGATTTAAACTGAATTTATAACTATGTAATGCTATAACTTATTAAAAAGTGTATGGATCAACACAATTTTTTTATGAGAAATAATATTTTTTAATAATCCTTTTTTCAAACTACATACTTTATCTTAATCAGAATTTTAATAAGGAAATAGCAGATCATGTAGCTTTTGGAATAATCCACTAATTTTTTTAAAATTAAAGACTATCTAAAGATTTGCATCGAATGTTTTTTAGTCATGTTTATAGTGATTTTAGTCACTGTCAGATATTATTATACTTGATCCAACTATGCTACTCACCACTGTGCCGTAACCCAGCACAGGGGCTGGGGTTTTTTTTTTTATTTAAAACTGCCATAACTTTTTGAAAACTGCATGTTTCAATACAATTTTGTTTTTATTAATATATTTTTAATCTGTCCCTTCACCTGCCCACAGGAGGATTCAAAATGACAACTTTTTCAAGTTAAATTTTGAAAGTGTTCCGGAAATAATGACACTAATGTCTAACTTTATTTTTCTTCATAGCAAAAATAGTTACCGTGTGCTATATTTGTCTTAAAATTTTTTATTTTGTATTTTATTTTGTTTTAAAATATCTTACTTTAGTAAGATTGGTAAGTTTTTGAGTTATAAAACATTTTTTAACTCTTTTGATTTTTATCTCATTTAGATTAAATAACTTCAATGAATATCATGGATTTCATACAGTAGTCTTCCCTCGTTTGAAGAAATTTCTTATTCATATTAAAGTTTTTTTACTATGCGATTTTTTTTTATGGCTCTCATTTATTTTCTTAGTTTTAACTTGACCAACTATTATTAACAATACATCAAATGATAATAATTATTTTGTTAAAGATATTATTTTATAAAATTGAAAAAATTTCGTCTTTATCAATTAAAAAGTTATTAGTCCATATCTTCATATAGTCAATTAAAATCTTTCAATTTTAATGTTTTTAAAATATTTATTGTCGAATTAGGTTTGATATAATAATAGGTTTCAATTACAAAATTAAATAATTTTACTTTGTAATTTATTAATTTTTCAACTATTTGTGTTTCTATTATTAAAAAAAAATGATTTTTAATTTTATATAAATTTTACAATGGATTTTCACAATTATTATAATACACTCAACTGAGAAGGTTTTTTCAACTATTTTTCGAAAATATATATTTTGACTTAAAGCTAGTATAGCTTTTTGAAAAATTTTTTTAAAAAGGAATTTATTTTGTTTTTTAATTTTGTGCATTTTTTGAAATCATGAAAAAGAGGTGGTGTACTACAACCCCTCACCAAAAAAATTTAATTTAAATCTTCTGTTATGCACATATTTCTTAATTATTCCAGATTTGTAGTTCTTTTATTTATGTGTATAATTTATATAAAATAATAAAAACCCAGCTCAGGGGGGTCGCGGCACAGTGGTGACGTGGCATAGTTGGATCAAGTATAATGATATCTGATAGTGATTAAAATCATTATCAAAATAAAACGCTTCGATGCAAATCTTTAGATAGTATTTAATTAAAAAAAATTGGTGTATTATTCCAAAAGCTACATGATCTACTAGTGCCTTATTAATATCCTGATTAAGATAAAGTATCTTGAATGAAAAAGGGATTGTAAAAAAATATTCTTTTTCATAAAAAAATTGTGTTGATCCATACACTTTTCAATAAGTTATAGCATTATAAAGTTAAAAATGTAAAAAATAAAATCAAGAATTTTCATACGAAATCAGCATTCGGTAGCCATTTTCACCACGAAGACAAGTCTAGAATTCAAATTTTTTTTTTCCATAATAAAGTACATTACATACATACAAATCTTTAATATAAAATTCATAAAAAAGTGTCAAACCTTCCGAAACATTTTCAAAAGTTAAGTTGAAAAAGTTAATTTTTTTAGAAAAAGTTGTTATTTTAAATCTCCCCCTGTTAAGTGTCAGATTTACAAAAAATATATAATATATGATAGATAAAGATATCAAGCATCTATAAAAAAATTATATTGATATGTTCATTTTTGAAAAAGTTACGGCAGTTTTTAGTAAAAAAAATTGAAAAAATTTCGAAAATTAGCAATTTTTAAATTTGTAATTTTTTTGTAGGTTTGCCCCATTTACGGGGAACGAGGGAAATTTTTTCAATTTTTGAGAGTAATGTCTTCAACTAGATACGATTTGTGATCTTTTGACAGAATAGAATTAGAAATGAGATTAGAAATCAACGCAAAAAAGTGATCTACAATAGTATATTTTTGACTATGATGAAAATATTTTGTAGACCAATGTTATTTATTCATAATTAACTAAAAATTGTTTTCTTCTGGTTGTTGTATCAAACCCTTTAATTTTTATACACGCTAGCATAAAAAGTAACGAAATATACAATTACTTACGATAATATTATCGTTGAAAGAAATACGTTTGGTGAGAGCTGAGTAAAAGTGGTAACAGTCACAAAAAAAAATAATAATAATAAAAAATAAAAAATAAAAAAAAAACACATCATAGTAAAACCAATACCTTCTCAGGTTCGCATTGAAGCTGAAATTGAAGAAATGTCGAAAATTAGCGATTTTTAAATTATACTTTTTTATTATACTTGTATGATTATTATATTTATTACTAGTCATATTATGTGTATTAGTACAATTTATTTCTTATCTCACAACACGCAGTGTCTAAAACATACCAACCAAGCTCCTCCTCGCGGTAAATGTAAATTAATTTTGTTGGCCTATCTGCACCTGTTTACATAGTGTAGCATTATTTGCAAAATTTTTATTTTAGTATGGAAATAAAAAACTTTATTGATGTCATCATTGAATTAAATTTTCTACAACTTCTCTTTGTTTTTATAAAAATATAGATATAAAAGAATAGATTCATAACTTTTTGAAAATTAAAATGGCAATAATACTAAATATTCAAGTGTATTTATGTATGTTTTTCGCATTTTTACATACTGAAGGAACACGTAATTCAAATGACAATGTGAAGACCATTCAAAATTTTCTAAGTCATCCAGGATGGAATAATATAAATGATGTAGAATTAATTAAGTATAGGAACAATCAGCATAAACTGAAAGATTTAATTGTTATACCTGTAACAATGTTAAATTGTGATAATTGCATACAGCAAATAATGCTATTCCTTGGATGTTCTTACGCTAATGATTTAGATTTAATAAACTATTCATTAAATAAATTTCAACAACATTGTTTTGAACTATTAGATTCTAGTTATGTTAGAGCGCACCATTGTACAATCACACTTTTAACGAAAATGATTGAAATTATTCCGATTGCAAAATGTATGAGAGGAGCTTTAGATGCAATAAAAAAATATCATACCGCTATCCGGAGCAGCGTAAAAAGAAAACGTTTTATTTTAAGCAGGTTACTAACAAATTTACAGGAAGAAGAAATATTATTGACTAGGTTGAGTACCAGTTTGCTTCCAATTAAGGATGTATTAGGATCTATCAACCAAATATTATTGTCGAGGAGTAATGAATTTAAAAAAGATAAGTCATTTTGTGAACTAAAACAATTGAATTTTGATTCATTGTGGCAAATATGGAATACAGAATTCAATACACCAATAGTTCAAAGAAAATTTCAAGAACTATTTATTTTTCTTAGTGATAAAATTAGTAATTTTATCCTAACAACAATCACGAAAAAATATTTTGAACTTGGATTTATATTTGATTCGAACACAAGTCAGACATTTTTATCTGTTAAACCATCAACCAGTGACAATCATGGTATAACTGTTTAAGCAATGTTACATTTATTTGAAATAATTTGTTGTTTTCATATTTAGATATCGCACAAAATCATTCTACAAATTTTACACAAAATACCAATTATGTAAATACGCAAGAAGCAATTCAAAAAAATGGTAAATTTTTCCTAATACTTGACAGTACGGTTAATTTTTAATCTAAATAAGTTTTAAATTGACCTTACAACCATTTTAATACGCCTAGATATTATAACATATCCTTCGATACAACATACGAATAATGTAGAGATACAGGAAGATATTAGACAAGAAAGTAATAATTTTATAATATTTTAAAATATTTTTTACATATTTGATCATTTGTGCCTAATTAATTGAAACTATATTAAAAATATCATTAATTTAAAAACTAAAAAACATTTAACACAAAAGCCACAAAAAATTACTGAAAATTCGCGGATACGTATTTTGGAGACAATGTTACCAATATCAACGCTAAAAACCCAGCACAGGGGGGTCGCGTCACAGTGGTGACGTAGCATAGTTGGATCAAGTATAATGATATCTGACAGTGATTAAAATCACTATCANGCACAGTGGTGACGTAGCATAGTTGGATCAAGTATAATGATATCTGACAGTGATTAAAATCACTATCAAAAAAAAACGCTTCGATGCAAATCTTTAGTTAGTGTTTAATTTTAAAAAATTGGTGGACTACTCCAAAAGCTTCACAGACTGCTAGTTCCTCATTAATATACTGATTAAGATAAAGTATGTCGAATGAAAAAGGGATTATTAAAAAATAGTATTTCCCATTAAAAAATTATATTGATCAATACACTTTTCAATAAGTTATAGCATTATAAAGTTAAAAATGTAAAAAATAAAATTGAGAATTTTCACACAATAATAGCATTTGGTAGCCATTTTCACCGTGAAGACAAAATAAAGTCCGAAATTTTTTTTTACATAATAAAGTAGATTACATTAGCTTTAATTTAATATATATATAAAAGTGTCAGACTTT